GAGACACCAAGTCAGCTACAGCTTGCTGAATGTAAGATAAAAATTAAGAGAAAATTTACACAAGAAACGTTGAATTATTAAAAGAAATTAATAACTAATTAGGTATTGATTTGGAAAATTAACCTAATTACTTATAAACTTGGATCCAGCAAAGTTAGTGGGTCTTGTAATGGCACGTACATAGTAGGAGGAAGTGTTTGTCACGCTAGAAAAACTGGCATCGTAAAAGGAGAAAACTCGTACTCGTGACATCCACGGAAGAATGAGTAAAGAATGTTAAACATAGCTTTTTTAGAGTTCCCATATTTGGATAGACAAATACAACCAGTCATCAGGTTGCTCCTGTAATTCTCTTTCTCTCTCTCATAACTTGTTGGTACGTTTAAATAAATTTTTAGTCTTTAAAAAATTATTTTTTAATGTAATCTCTCTTAATGATTTATTAATATATATTTGTTATTTGCTTTCATAATATTTAAGTTAATTTATATAATTTTATGTATTTTTACATATGAATTAAATTAAATGTCATAAAAATAATAAAATTTTAATAGAGAGATTATATGAGAATATTTACAAAACTAAAAATAGTTGATCCAATAAATAAATTATAATTTTTAAGACTAAAAGTTTATTTAAATAATTTATTTCATACAATGTAATTGCAATTTTTGTTTCTTTTGCCTTATTTTCAAATTTCTGCAGATTACAGGATCATGACACATTTCATACAAGGAATATGAATTCCCAAGCAAAGTACTTGATACAGTACCTTGCAGAATGTTTCTTACTGTTATAAAGCAGTTCACTGCAGTAAAAGGTTATTGCAGGTCTTCCTAAGACATGCATTGTTTTTTTCTTTATTACTAAATAAGGTTTTATTAGGATTGAGCAAATATTCATCTATATGATAGAAGTTAAATATATAACATATAATCATCTCTTTATTAATTGTAAACTCCTGAAATTCTAATTTTCTGTGCCACTTATGATGCATTATTAATGATAGAAATCCGAACAAGATGCTAGGTTATCACACTAGTTGAAGAAAGAATAACTAAAATTTCATCTTTATTTTTCTATTTTCCAACTTATTTAAATTAATTTATCTATTTTCTTCGTATGCATTATTTTGAACTGAAGATTACCTAATTTTTGGATAGCCAAATGGATTGAATGAGGTATTGGTCAATTAAATATGTAATACTTTTTTAATAAGACACCTTTAATTAATTACATAAATTAATAAAAATAGTTAAAATGAATTTTTTTAAATTATAACATGATAATTTTATCTTCATTTAATTTTGTTGAACCTAATTCTAGCTACTATCAATGTTTATCTTTGTTAATTTTAATTTAAAGTTCTATCAATTCTATTTATTTAAAAAATAATAAATATTTCATAAAATTATAAAATAGAACTACTAAAAACTTCTTAAAATAATGTATTATAAAAAGGGTAGGAGGAATGTCATATTATATATTGAAAATTTTAAAGCGATATATTAAATTAAATTCACTGTAAAAATAATATTAAAGTATAATACAAACTGCTGTTAGATAACGCTATATTTAATTATGTGATATCGAATTCGATATTAATATTTTTTAATAAATTTTTTAGTCTACATATATTAAGAAAGGATAACCTAAAATTGAATAGATTATCTATGAACAATTTTAAGTTATAACTTCTTTTCTGCTAATTTTAAGCAATAACATTAAATAGACAAAATAATTTATATAGGAAATTTTAATAATTATATAAAAGTGTATATACAAAAGAAGTTATAGAATAAGAAATGTTCTTTTCTTAAGAATATTAAAAATAATGATCACGTGACTATTTAAAAAATTTAAAATAAATATTTTTAATTAATACAATTTAATGAATATTATTTTTTTATTATAATATATATACCACGGCTCCCGTGTCCATATAAAGATCTGAATCTATCTCCTTTAAAAGTAAAGATATGTATAAAATATAAAATAAACCTTATTTAACATTAACTTAAATTTAATTGTTTTATAAATATAATTAATTTAGATTAAATAAATATTTGTATATATACATTTTTGCACATCTTTTAATTTTAAAATGGTTAGATTAAAATTTTCACTCTTCAATTGGACGTCTGCCAAGGACGTACAAACTTTTTATTGGTAAAAGAAGGTAGCCTTATGGTTTTTTTTTTGTTTTTGAAAAAAAGGGGTCTTATGAATTGCAAGATAGAATCCTTGTTAATTTTAGATACTGCCACATATAGTGACTTCAAATCACCTCATTTCAGACACTCAGCTAAAGGGTTAGCGTAGAATCTGCACCAAAAAGCTAAACTATTTTGTGTTATCTTCGTCTAAACAGTAAGAATTGCATAAAATTATCCTTTCCTGCACTAATACCTTCCAAGCAAACACATTTACCTGTGTTCGATTCAAAATTAAATAAAATTAATTTTAAATTATTAAATACAATTAAAATTTTAACTACATAAAAAAAAGAATCCCTCACTTTTCTGTGCAGAAGTTACAGGATTTGAATATCGATAGAGGTCAACAACAGTATATGTTGTCCCAACTGCACTAAACAAATGCGAAATTGCATATCCTTAGAGAAGCTGTATAGGGAGTCGCACAAGTTGTTTTTTCTCCCAAAGTAATTTTATCATGAACATTTTTTAAGAGTTGGCCGAATAAATAAGACACCGTTTCTTATACGACATATCGTATATATTACAAAACATGACCCACTATTGTACGTACGGTAGCCTATTTGAAAAATATTTCTAAAATTTGATCTATCTATTAATCGTTTTCTGCATGAAGAACAAGCTGATGATTTTATTTTATTTGTATGTATTTTACCTTTAATTCAAGGAGTAGCTTAATTATTACCTATCACATATGAAACTAGAACAGTGCACCCATGCTTACGTACGGGTAGAAAAAGCAAGAGAGGCGGGGGAGATGCATTCACATGATGAAACTCACTCTTTTTTTAAAAGTAAAAAAACTGACTATTACGCCTATCAAGATAGAAAAAAAATAAGGAAAACCATTTTCTTATGTTAGAATTTAGATCTGTTTGGTTAGGACTCTGATCTAAAGCAATAATTTAGTGGTGAATAAATATGTAGTGTGTTAGTAGACATATATGGTGATTATATGGTCAAATTCTAACTACGCTAATGACCTGAAGTCAGATAACAATAAATGTCCTTATAAATAAATATCTTAATTCTTAACATGAAAGGCCTACCATTAATAACTAAATCAGAAAAATAAAATTAATTAGTATACGCATAATTTCACTTGGATACCACCTTTTTTTTAAAATTATAGAACTAAGGTTAGCTTACCACCTAATCATACTTGATTCAATTTACAATTTTTCTACATATTACTATTTTTGAATGGACAAGATTTAGGTACAGTACTGTTTATTTATTACAATTAAAATTTATTTTAATAATATGCAATAATAAATAAATAAAAATATTTTATAAAAATTATTTTCAAATTTTAATTAGTTAACAATACTAAAAAAAATGCTTATAGAACTACACTTACTTTTATCTTTTTGAAATAGGTTTTGTTAATTGCCCTAGAAACATTAATTAAACGATTAATTATTAAAAATTAGAAAAAAATATTTTAATATTATTTTTTGACAAAAAAAAAGTTTAAATTCTTTAACCAATATCCTGAAGTATTGATAAACATTTGTCATCTTAAATTTATAGTCAACTTCAATCAATACACAAACTACTGAAACTTACACCAAACGAAGCTGAAATAAATGGACTAATAGCCTATATAATGATTCGTTAATGTGACAAATGTATTTAAAATAGTGATTCTTATCATTTTATTTCATCCAATAGCTACCCTTAAATTGAGTCAAAATTATAATTATTTTTTTATTTCAACCTACGATAAATCATGTAGCTTGTTACTTTGTCTCTCATTCAATGTAAATTAATTTATGTAACAACGTGAACAGAAAATTGTATCCAACGATATATTAACTTTCTAAACAAATGAAGAGAAACACAATTGGCAGAATTCCCTGTTGGCGTGAACAACTGCGAAAAGAATCTTTCTCTCGCATAAGTTTAGCATACTTATCTCTCTAATATTTGGTCATATAAACACAACAATCCATGAGTGTTAAATGAAAAATAATTGAGAAGAAATAAATAAACTAGAACGAAAAGGCAGCATAAGAGGCAGAGGAAGGCAAAGTGAATATTCCACACCCCATTAAAAAAAGGAGAAAAAACAATTGTAAAAATAAAAATTAATTTAATTGGGCGAGTGTAGCGCTCTGAGAAGACGAAGGAGGAAGCACACGTAAAATTATCTTCTTTTTAGTTTTTCACGAGGGAGAAGTCACGGACCTAAAACAACAAGTGTAAAAATGGGAAAGGAAGGTGCACTTACAATAGGAGGGTGTAAACAAAATGTCCATGAATATTTGACTATCTCAAGACTCCATTGAACGAAGCCACGCGCAAGAAACACCCGTGTTCCCCACACCCTAACGCTTGCAAGTTGCAAAAGCTCAAATTATTTGATAAACATTAGTTAATTGCTGTATGATATAATTTATAATATAAGGTGACGTATGGTTCATAAGGAAGCATCAAACCTTATTCCGTTCTCATTTGATTTCATACAGAAATCACAGAAGCAAATGAAACAGGAGAGCAGAGGGGAGTAGAGAGAGGAGCGCGGTGGAGTATAGTAAACCAGTCACGTCAAGAGGGGCCACCATGTGAAATTGTGAACACTGTGCAATACGCTCTCCACTCTCTCTCATTCATTCAATTCATTCAACTAGCCTTTTTTACGTCCCATCACCCAATCTCTTCACCACCCTCTCTCATCTCTTCTCCTTTGCTTCCTATTCCAAAACTAACCTTCCAAAAATAAATAAAACCCTTCACTCCTCTCACTCCCTTCTCTTCCTTTCTTTTCTCATCAAAAATTTAAATAAAAAACACAACACAGTCTCTGATTTTCCCAAACCCCCAAAAATACAAGCAAAAAGAAAACTCACTATTTAAAACCCATTTCACTAACCCAACAGCAAAAGACATAACTGAATTAGGGTCTTGTGGTTACTCATCATCATGGACGCTGCATCCGGGGCAGTGGCTCCGCCGACTGCAGCCACTGCAGCTGAGCCTCCACAGCCGGAGGGATCATCGGCCGCGGCGCCCAGCCGTTACGAGTCGCAGAAGCGGCGCGACTGGAACACTTTCTTGCAGTACCTGCGGAACCACAAGCCGCCATTGACGTTAGCGCGCTGCAGTGGGGCGCACGTGATCGAGTTCTTGAAGTACTTGGACCAGTTCGGGAAGACGAAGGTGCACATAGCGGGGTGTCCTTACTTTGGACACCCCAACCCTCCATCGCCCTGTGCCTGCCCTCTCAAGCAGGCTTGGGGCAGCCTCGACGCCTTAATTGGTCGACTCCGGGCGGCCTTCGAAGAAAACGGAGGCCGCCCTGAGTCGAATCCGTTCGGCGCCCGTGCTGTGAGAATTTACCTTAGAGAGGTAAGAGAAGGCCAAGCTAAGGCCCGAGGAATCCCCTATGAGAAGAAGAAGCGTAAGAGAGCCACCGTCACAGCCGCCGTTGTGTCCGCCGTGAGCGGTAGCAGTCATAATAATAATAATACTGCAAGCGGCGCTGGCGGCGGCAGTGGTGACACTAATGGAGCTGGTGTTAGTGTAGCTTCTGCCACTCCTGCTAGTGCTACCCCTAGTGTTACTACAACCACCGTATAATATAATTTTAATAATTTTGATCATTTTTTCTTTTTTTACCGCTTTTTATCTATTTTCATTTCAAGGATTCAATTGTGATTAAGGCATAGGAAGTTACGTATTTACGGCGATTTATCTTAGATTAATATAAATTGAACCACTGTCAACACACATGGAAGTGGATCTTTTACCCCAATTTCAACTGCATAGGGTGCAGTTTTCTATCCAGTGTAGGGTAATTTTTTAAAACAAATTTCATGCTTTGTTTTAATAATACAAAATGAAATGTTTTTAAGGGTTGAGATTTGGAATTCTAACACACATGGTATAGTGTAACTAGGGTCATGTGCAACTAATCATTCACTCCATGAGCTATCTGAGCAACAGCAATTTTTCATAATTCTCTTACTTGATGTGGTGTTTCAAAGCTGGGTTTCTCTCGCCTGACATGAGATATTTGCCTTTTCTTTTGTTTTCATTTTGGGGTGTTTCATGAAACGATGGACTAGTAGAGGCATGAATTGTAACCCCATGTTTTGCTTAACTTGAAGAAAATAACTCTACTAGCATCAGAACAGAAGACTCCGAGGCCTTTCGTTTTCATGTTAAATTCATTCCTCGTTTTTATTTTTGTGTTCTTTAAGAGGGGTTTACTATTGGAGATGGAGGGTGAGGTAACGAGCTCAATCTCTCTTTATTTTTACAATTATATTCTCAATGGGTAGCATATTAAATTTCTATGATGCCATTAAGGAAACTAGGGAGAGCGCATAGTTCATTTGCTTTCATTACGACATTTCGATTTGTCTTGACCTGGCCAAGCTCCAATGAGTGGTGTGCAGTTGGAAAACAATTTGGTGAAAGTTAGAAAGATGGGAAAAGAAGAATCATCACAACGATATCATATCATTATCCTCTCTTTTTTTCTCTCTCTGCCGTTTGTCACCCTACAAAACAGTGTAATTTATGGAAGCAAATCAAGGAATTGACCCTTCCATTATATATACAATCATTTTAGATGGGTAGATAAATAAATTTATATATAAATTAAGATTTTTTATTTTATTTCTTTTCATCACTCACCCTTGTCTTGTTTTGGATCTGCTGGTTGTAACAAGGGCAACAACAACTCAGATGGAGTCAATAAGGTCTAATCCTTCTTTATACTCTATATTCTCCCAGCAACACTGTTCACCTGGTCCCCGGGTTTGTATCAGATTTGCTGGGCTCAATCTAACTACAATGATGCACACGTGCGCTTATCATTTACAGCATTTTTTGCACTTGTGTTTCAGGTGCTCACCCTTTGCAACTTGATCTAAGATTTTGTATTCTCAGATTTTGTTGTTAAGTTTCAGGACTTTGGCTTATTTTCTATCCTTTCGTTTTTTTTGCTGAGGTGGGTTATTCGGCTTTCTACTCTATTCTTCACCCTTTCTCTCTCTCTCTCTCTCTCCTAATATACCTATAATTGACATTTCTTTCTGTGATAACAACACCCAAAAAAAGATATAGGCTGCAAGCATCCATGAAAAGAAAACCGATTCCTTGTGATTGCTGCTCATATTTTATTTGGGTAACCACCACCTAAGGGTGAAAACGACTGCTAGCCAACCGTTCCTTACATTCTATATATTAATTTATATTATTCATTTGTATTATCATAACTCAGCTACAATTTAATATGTTTTATTTTGTTATTACAGCATAGACCCACCAGCCACTTCCAAACAAAACCACATTTCTGAATTTTAATTTGGAACTTTGGATCCATATCCACTAAAATCATGATTCATCTACTCACTATAATGTACTGAAAATATTTCTTTGCATTGCTTTTTTCTTGCTTGTTTCTTTTCTTGCATTAATTTTTCTCTCCTCTCTCCGCGAAGAAATATTCACACTTTTGCATTCAAGAGGAACTTTCGCTTTCTGGCCTTTTGTAGAACCACGTAATTTCGTATAAGGCACTTTATTTCTCACTTTCTTTTGTTTTTTTTTTCTTTATTATGTACGGTGGCCACTTTAACCATTTCGATTTCTAAAAAGTCAAAAAGAAAATTTTTTCATTTATCCCAGTTTTTTTTAAAGAAATAATAGTAAAATTAAGACCCCTCTTCTTTCTTTTTCTTTTCTCCCTTTCTCTTACCCTCTTTTTGTTAAATTCGTCATCTGGCGACTGGCGTGTTATTTTACTTGTACCTTACATATATAAAGAATAAAAGAAATAATATATAATATTAATGTGAATGATTAAAATAATTTACACATAGTCCTTTGTTACTTTGTTTGTTTTCAAGTAAGAAAATGTTGGGTACAGACTATTTATTTGTAAATGAAAATAATTTGTGATATGTACTGGAATAGTGTCAGGAGTGGTGAGCAGAGTAAAGTGCGAAAGGAGTAAAATCACAAGGTTGATGAGGAGAAAGAGTATCCCACTTAGCTTCTGGATTTCTTCCCACTTTTGTCGCCACATAGAACAAACATCCATGTCGCATTTAATATTGTGTGTCTATCATAGAGTTCATTGATATTGGATCCAATCAGGGGAGTTGGGAAGAACGGAGTTTTCTGGTGAATGGGAGTGGTTTGGGTTTTGGGTGGGGCTAGCTTTTATGATTTTCTCATGCACCTGCACCCACATTACTCTTTCTCTAGTCAGCGACCAAGACCATTTTCAACTTCATCGTATATTCATTCGTTTATGAGAGAGAGGTGGGAAGAAGGGGGTTTTCTGCTGCGTCAGAAAAACTTTAATCCTCTTTCTTCTCTTTTTAATAATTCTTCTACTGTTTCATAAACTGTATATATTTAACATTATTGAGCTGAAAATGGTTTAAGATTTTTTTCTTAACCATCCTACATTTGTTATTGCATCTTATTTTTATCAAGATTTTTTTTGGTTAACAATGAGCATTTGAACAATGTGACTATTGACGTATGGTTTTGGAAAGGGAATATAGACCTAAAATTGAAGCTTAGCCCTCTGAATAAGAAGCGGAAGGACATGAGATGAGCTTGCTCGTTGGCACAGAAATAAATGGACCATACAGTAACACGGGGAAAAGTGTCCCCTCCAACCTGCATCATTCTTTTCCGCTAAATTGGTAATAATGAAAATATTTAACTCCTTTAAAACGTGTAGATGCCACTTTAAATAATCACATACAATTCTAATCATTAATTAAATTTTTCATAATTATATAATGTTATATATATGCATACATTTGTTCATTATAGTTTAAATTGACATTTTTGTAATATTTATTTCTAAGGGTAACTCTTTGTTTTAAAAGAAGATTTTATTAAAAAAAATTATAGTTTAATATAAATTACTCAGATTTCTCGTGACTATACAGAGCCTGTTGCTTTGCAACATACATCATGTTGAACCATATTCGTGCTCATTTCGCTAACACATACATAGGTTCACTTAATAATTGACAATTAATTGTTTTGACTTACCCAGTTAAAGGAGGTGGAACCGTTTATTAGGTTAATTATGATTTTACGTGTATTTGAAATATTTTATATAAAAAAGGAAAATACTATTAATAATGATAAAAATTGTATTGAAATGAGAAATATATATTATATTCTTACAATTTTAATATAATAAATATATTTTTATTAAAAATTTTAATTTATAAATGTTTAAACTTAGTCTTAAGAACTGAAATTAATAAAATTCTAAAATTAATTTATAATTTTTATAATCTTTTAATTTATTTTAACATATTTTATAATTTATTAAGATATATTTTTCAGTTTATATCAATAAAATTTATGGTCTAATTTAGAATATAAATTTTATACAATAAAAATTTATTAAATATATACTTAATTAAACTATCTTATCCAAACACACTCTCAAATCATTATCTACTGCACAGAAGAACATTTCAAACAATAAGCACAACTTTATGAAAATTTGTATATCCTTATATTACGTAATAATTTAAGTGCTTATAATAGAATCTAATTAAATTTACTCACGTCCCTTGAATAAGTTAAATTTTTAAGGTATAAAACTTGAACTGTGAGTGTGAATTTCTTTCTTATACCCATATTTTCCCCTAATTTTTCCATTTTTTATAAGAATTTATATTATATTAAAATATACTTTATATTATTTGATTGATATAATTTTGATTATATTTAAACATTTATTCTCCTTATCCTCTTCTTTGTTGGAATCTTAATAGTCCCCATGGTCTATACCTTGAAAATGTTGTCACCCTTGACGTGAAAGAAAGCCATCGTGGCTTGCTGGGTTTCATGCTCATTCCCTCCTTTCTTTACTTATTTTGATGTTGTTTTGCACCCATAAAAATTTTGCTCAGTACTATATTCGAGATAAAATAAAGTACGTTAAAAATAAATGACTTAAAAGTTCTTCCAAATTATCATAAAAACAAGTTATATTATCAATTTAAATATCATGATTAATCAGCAGACTTTTTCAAGGAAGTACATTCAATAATAATTGCCAAGAAAATACTAAATACTTAAGTAGAACTTTCCCTCTTTATAGCCTTCACTGATCTATACTATTAAGACAACTAAAAAGTTTAAATAACAATGAATATGCAAATTGCGTTGAATAACAACCTGAAAATTTTGCCCTCCACATTCATTTATTTTTTTGTAGCACCTTAATAAAAACCTCATTAACAAGCTCTAACAAAAGATTAAAACTTGATATCTCATGTTGAAAGAGTCATTTGCGTCAACTAACATTCTAAACATATCTTGTGCCTCATGAAAACTATTATCCAATATACAAGATTTAACATTTTTAGCCACTGCAAACAATCGCGAAAATGTCTCACACTATCACACCATGCTTACTTATTTATTTTCCAAAAAAGGGTGTGCAAACATGTACCTACACTTCTATCAAACTTCTCATCTAATTATGAATTCCCTTGATGATTAACCTCTAACAAATTATGCTACCACAAAAAACATTTGTTGTGTATTAATGGATGTTGAATAGAATAAACTAATCTGTAATA